GTTCAAAAGAATGTCCCAACACAGACGAGCTACATCTAATGGCCAGAACTCTGCAGTTTTCACTCATTTACAGGCCAGGAACGTTGGTTTGAGAGAGGAGTAAAAGAAGCCTTTTTTGTGAAGAAAGACCGTCCATCATTAAACGGAGGTGGAGGCCTCCGCTTTCAGTTGTCCCCCTTCTACAGTGCTGCCATTGCCAGTATCACTCCACCCCCTGTTAACAATAGGTGTTAATTAGGTGTCAACAATAGCCAGGTGATGTGAGTATAAGTCACATGGAGGCAGTGCTTAAAAACCTGAATTTTGCCTGAAACTCTCAGACTGAAGAAGTCTCTTGGAGGAGAGACGAAACATTTCATTAGAGAAGAACCCGTCCAGAGGACCTACACAATTTTTTTTCTTTTTGAGCATAAATAAGTCATATTTATACCCAAACATTTTAAACTAAAATAGTTCAGATGTGAAATCTGATGTTTTAAAATAACTGCAATGTCAGTGTAGATTATCTTTTTGTACAGGTCATTATGAACCTTAATATGAAGTGGCATCAATATAAACTAACATACCTTTGATTTTGGGGCACCTGCTTGTGATGGAGTCCCAGACTCAGCTAAAGTACTACCTGGATCCTTTTCAATGAAAAGAAGAAAATAAAACAAACTTTTGTAATGAATTACAAGTCAAATCCTTCAATTTAGTGTCTTATAATTTTCTTTAGAACATATTTGATAACCCGGTCTCTATTTGCTTTATCAAAAACAATTGGCAATTTTCAATATACAAATTAAAAATTAACTAGTAGTATTTGCAATAACTAGTTACCAAAATGTACCTGTAGGAGATGAAAAATAAATAAATTCAAGTTGAATGCTAGTAAATTACTGTGTTTTATGAATAAAGTATAATATGTCTATTCCATATAAATATTTACAGACTAAAGTATAATAGTTTGTTAAAGTTAGCTGTCAGCTATATTCATGAAAAAAGCTTTGAAGTAAAGATGCTTCAGTAAAGTTGCGTCAGATTAGCCGAAGCTAACTCATCGACAGCAAATTATTTATTTACCTCCATCTCTGTCTGACGGTTCTTCAGGGTCTGTCTGACGGTTTCATCGACAGCAAATTATTTATTTACCTCCATCTCTGTCTGACGGTTCTTCAGCTTCTTCTACCACTTAGAGAGAGACAGGTCGCTGAACAAAAACACCCAGTTTGATATACAAGATTGTATCAAGTCTTACGGAGTCCTAACACGGAGACATTTCCTCTGTTTTGGTTGTGAGCTAACAGGCTAAAGCAGCGACCTACTTCCGCATTCGTCTACCGTATATTCTTCAGGTCACGTGATCAACCAGCAAATATTTATTTTCAGTGATTAAGCTCAAGAGTTTTAAGGCTAAAATAACTGAACAAAATGAATTGTCGCTATTTTTAAAAATAATTGTATATTTAATTCTTTACTCTTTCTGCAGTGCACCAAGATTATTGAAATAAATTGACTCTTAACTGCAAAGAAGCTGCTTTACAGTGGGCATTCAGTAAAATGCTGCTGTAAAACTTAAAAATAATTTTAMATGATTTGTTTTAATGATTGTTTTATAAATTTCCTAATCAAAGTATAACTGGMAGTTATGCTAATAATATATATTTACTGTCTTAAATAATTTGCTGTCTTTGTTGACCATTTAAATTCTCCCACTTGAAAAATATGTAATTAAAACATGTAAAACAAATTAAATAAACTAGAAAATACAACTGGCGGCAGCCATTCTTGATCACACTAGCTTGTCTTATGTCATAAGGGACTTGACCACATTCTTAGCATTTGCTTATAATATTATATT